TTTTGTCTGTTTCTTACGCCACCGGGGGCGGTGGCGTGAATAAAGATAGTCTTACAGCCATCACTAGTCGTTGAGCTGAAAACAAACATCTGACAAGTAATCCCCAATCAGCTCCAACAGACACTAACAAACATGCAGATTGACCAATCACCCTAACAAGAGAACGACCACAAATCGAGTTTTTCTTCATAGTCAGAAACTCCAAAACTCAAAAGGGTAACGGCTAGACAGATACAAGGAAAAAAAATATCTAAGCCTAAAATGAGAGAAGAGTGACGGGGGACCAACACCCAATCTCATCGGCCTCAAAGGCAGCCAGAGACGGAGGTCGGTCCCGATCTGAAGTCTGGAAGTGAAGGAGGAAGGTGTGCGAGAGGAGAAAGAGAGGCAGGATCTTTTTCTTCTTTTGGGGGCGTTTTCTTCTCTTCTATGGTGACCAAGCTTTGCTGACGGAGGAGGAATGAAAACTGGAAGTATCTTAACTGATCAGTTACTCTTATTAGAATGGGGGAAGAAGATGCGGTCTCACCAGGTGAAGTGCACCATAAGGTGAGCCTAGGTGCACCTTAGTGAGGTTCCATCCCAAAACCAATTAGTAATGGGAGGAGTAGCCCACTAGGCTTAAAAACTATGCTCATTTACGATATAGAATCAATGTGGGACAACTCACAAGTGATATTCCAACAACTTTCTCTAAGTTGTAATGTCGCATTTGACACTTTTGGGCTCGTGAATATTCAGATGATGAAGTATGCTAAAATTTATAGTTTATAATACAATAAAGTGTAAAATTGTCAACACTTACAACGCAATTATTTTTTATCAACTGTACAAAATCGAAAATTCTATCGGAATTTTTTTTTCAATTTGTTGTAAAATATCAAATGATTCAATCCGTTGGAATTCCATCAAAGCATGGAGCATCTGCAATGCTTTAGGTTCAATAAAAAAAAATTTATACGCCACCTAGATAATAGACTTAGTCTAAAAAATATATTCTCCAATGCAAGTGCAAGTAGATTGGGTACTGCTGATATGGCAGCAAGAAAAAGAGATTCAGTCTACACTTAAGTCTATTTTAGATTCAAGTAGAGACCTAGTCTCTTACGTTGGAGTGCATTTTGTTAATGTATTGTTTTATCCATGTCATCTAAGACTTTAGCTTATTTATATGCTACATAGGCAAAACTATACCCAAAATATTGCTGATGTAACGAATATGCAATAGAAACAATTAAATTTCATTTGATGAACTTGATAGCCAACGAATTTTTCCCATTGGGTATTCTTTTAGTGTTAGAATATTTTGTAGATTTGCTTTTCTAATTGTTTTGTTAATTTTATTTTATTTTTTTATTTTCTTTTCCATATATGCTAATGGAGTACACATCATTGTCACAAGATTTCGTGGAACAATACTTCTAGCGGAAAAAAATATATATAAATAAATAAAATCAGTGCCAAGAGGACTAAAAATTTGCAGCAAAATTTAAAAGCAGGACTAAAACATGAAAAATAAATAAATTGGAACTAAATTACTACCTCATCAAACTAATATGACCAAAAATGTAATATAGTATTTTAGATTTTTATTTATTTTTATTTCTTACTTTGTAGTTTAAGTGTAACTAGGAGATAGGATGGATTAAACCTAGACTAGAATTGTAATAAACTATTAAAACAATTTACCAGAGTCCTTTATTAGAGTTGGAACTGGAGCTTGCACTTCCAGTTCCTAATCCCAAAACCCATGGAACCGGCAGCCGGTTTGAAGCCATAACGTTACAATGAACACATTATTGACTTTTTTTAATAGTTCTTACTTTTTCTTTTTATAAAAATATGTTTATGTTTTAAGAGAAAAAAATACTACATTTATTCATATAGTAAATATTTATAGTGACATAAAATAATATAGCCACTTTAATGTATAAAATTTATAAGTAAAATTATTTATTTTTATTATTTCTCTAAGAGGTATAAATTTTTTAAAAATTTTAGTCGTCTCGGTGATAGGGAAGACCAAAAATTCTATACGGTCATCGAATTGTTTTTTTATGGAGTCATCTACCACTTAATGTATTGACATATGTCTAAATTGTATTTATTGCAGGACACGTGTCAATACACTATTAGTGAATAAGTGTGGATGACTCAATAAATCGAGTGATGCGGTTGAAGCGCAGGTGTGACTGTTACATGTTTTTAACATTTTTTTTTTTTTAAACTCTGATATTTAATGTAATAAAAATATATAAAATTGAGAGTAATGTGCAAGTAGTGCTGCAATCGGGCCATCTTAAACATGGATGCTAGTTGGTGCCCATAACCTCCCCTATAGATTCATTATTATTTGAGCACCCTACTTCTTATTTTCCAAATCCAGTTTTGACTTTTTTTCTTTCTCCGAATCATCCATGGCTGGAAAACCAGAGTTTGATCCTCAGGTCGTCATATCTCACGAATTTCCCCAGGTAAAATTGCTTTTACTCGGTTAACCTTTTCCGTTTCTCCTTCACTGATGTTGTTTACTTCGATTCAGCCTTTCTGTATTCGGATTATGATCTTTGTTTCCTTTTCTGGTGAATTATTGGTACCAGTCAACGTATACTTATACCGAGAGGTTAGAGAACTTCAATCTCTGTTTATATTCTGCAAATTTCATATTATTCGTAAAATTCAAGAGCTTAGGTTAAAAGGTAACATGGGTAGCTAGTTTTGCTCGATGAACAGGGACGCTGCACTATATGCACTTGGTGTTGGAGCTTGTACGAAAGATGCGGTTGACGATAAAGAGCTGAAATATGTTTACCATCAAGATGGACAGCAAGCTATTCAGGTAATTAAGATTTTTATTTTTTTTTCATTTTTCTCTTTCTCCTGTATTGACATTTTAAGCCGAGATTTTTACCTGGTGTCAAGCTTGCTTTGGAAGATCAGAATACCATCCTTTGAATTTCAGATATATCTATTTGTGAATTTGATGATAAATTCGTGCTTTTGGAATAATGATAACAATGTGATGGAATTTAAATCAGTATTAGGAGGTCAAGTTTTGCACTGCTTTTAATAATTGTTGGGACTTAGTTATTAGCTTCTTTTTTTTTTTGTTTTTTTTTNTTTCCATTCCCTCCACAGGGCGTGGAAGTTAATCATATGCACATAGAAGTGTATACATGATGAAGCATGGACTTAAGTTACTTAATTTTTTGTATATGTCTGCAGGTCTTGCCCACTTTCGCTGCTTTATTTTCTTTGGAAATTCAGTCACAGCTCGCACAGTTACCTGGTTTAAAGTTAGTAATTCTACTGTTTTCCCCTTGTGCATTTGGATATTTTTTATATAGATGTTGTTTGGTGAACTGATCTTGGTTGTCTTGTTTACTAAGAAATAATCTTTGTGGGTTGTTAATCTCCAGATTTGATCCGCGCCTTTTGTTACATGGTCAACAGTACATCGAGATATGCAAACCGCTTCCTCCTAGTGGTTCTGTAAGTTCCTTCTTCAGCATGTAGTGTTCTTTGTGTCTTCCGTTTGTTTATCCTTTTCTTTTTTTTCTGTTAAAATGAGTTAATCAATTCATATGATGATTTTGTTGGTTCAGCTGATAAATAGGGCAAGTGTTGCTGGATTGCATGATAAAGGTATGCTTCCCATGTTGATCTTGATCCCAATTTTAGTTCTGTATATTATATAAGTTGTAAGCTAAAAACATGTCTAGGCACAGTATAAATATATGTTAGTCATTGGCAATACTAACAAGTACAGTAGAATATGCCTGCAACAATAAAAAAACACGATTGTCCACTTTCACTATTTACCTTAATTTAGATGGGCATTGAAAGTGGAAAATCTTACTACGAGATTTGATCAGAATACCTCAGTATATTAATGTCTTCTGGGGTTAATAAATCTTCTGCTTATGATATGTTTTGTTTTTGCATAACACTCAGTTTTCAGGTAGATGATGAATGCCCAAATGCATTTGATGTATTCATAATGCCTTTTTTTCCCAGGTAAAGCAGCTGTTCTAGAGATTGAAGTTTCAACTTACGAAAAAGAATCTGGTGTGCTGCTGTGCATGAACAGGTAAGTTATCATTCATGCATCCATGTTAATACATTTATGCATTTTCATTCGTTCTTCACATATTTTCCCTAGAGTTGATAAATCTTTATATTGGTTCATAGGTTGGCCGTTTATTTGAGAGGTGCTGGTGGCTTCTCAAAATCATCCCAGCCCTACTCTCATACCAAATATCCCCCGAATCAGTCTCTGGCTTATAAAATTCCCAAAAGTCAACCATTTGCTATCTATGAAGAAAGCACACAACCGTCTCAGGTATGTGTGACATTCGGATATGGTTATTGTAAAATCTTGGTGTAAATAACAAATGGATACATGATAATCAAACACGGTTTCTAGAACATGTATATTGATATTCTAGCATAAGTCATGAGAATACCTTTTCATAAGGGATCATGCTACCCTGCTCCCCTGCCATTATTTAATTTCAATAAAGAGAAGTTTGATGTGGTACGGTAGTGGTTTTTTCTCCCCTTTCTTTTTTTTTTTTTTTNATCTTTAAAAGTTAACTTGAGGGCTCCTCTGGTTAGTTGAACTAGTTCTCAAGTTTGAAGGGATTTAGTAAAATTTAATTACCTTAGATCCTTCCTTCGTAGTTGCTCCTAAACTTTAATAATCAGTCACTTGCCAACTTTTATAGCATGAAATTTCATACTTTAAATTTTTTTAGGGTGAGTTTGGTTACTTTTATTGATTGGGCTTGATTAATTCCCACAAAAAAAAATAAGGTGTTATCCTTTGGATAGAAGAACCCTATTAACTTGTTTGGTTGATAGTGATAAATATACCATTTAAGGTGAGATTACATTTTCACCCTTCATTTAGAATCAAATTTTCAATGCTTCACCAATTCAAAATTCACCTTTCTTCACGAAATTTGCATATTCAAAAAACAATTTCAATCTAGCATTTACCACATAATGATTAACCCAACATACCACTAATTCATCTAGACAACTAATTGCCCTCTCATAGATCCAAAACAAAATAAATTTCTCCAACCTTATCTTTCCCCTCAATTTACAAATTGTANCAAACGGGACGCCATTGCACTCCCCGTCACTCATTTGCTTCCCGTTCGGCTAGAGGCACTTTATGATTTTTCTTTTTATTTTTTTTAAAGAAAAGAAGAATATAAAAAGACTGAAGTAGAAAAGGGAAGGCGTGTGCGAAATTAAAGAAGAAGATGGGGAATGGTGAAAAGAGTAATATGGATATTTTGGGTATTTTAATTATTTTATGATAAATGATAAAGCATCCCACCAATTTTATGGGATACGGTAATAACATCAAAAGTGATATTGGTACGGGCCTAACTTAATTTTCAGGGCCGGGAAGTGTTCAACCAAACAACTTAATCTTCTTGATATAATAACAAATAGTGTGATATCCTACCCAATAATCCCAACCAAACTGACCCTTAATATGTATTGTGATCCAGGCCTTGCTTTACAGGCTCTCTGGTGATTACAACCCATTACACTCAGATCCTACGGTTGCAGAAGTAGCTGGGTATTTTGAATTTTCTTCTTTAAACTCAGACGTATCTCTATTTTTTTTATCTCCATGTCCCTCCCCCTCTCGTTTTATTGATATTTGTTTAGTTTCAATAATTTCGTGTAGATTTTCTCGTCCAATATTGCACGGGCTTTGCACACTGGGGTTTGCAGTCAGAGCCATCATTAAAAGCATCTGTCGAGGAGACCAAAGCATGATAGTGAACATATCAGGTAGATTTTTGCTGCACGTCTATCCAGGGGAAACCTTAGTTACCCAAATGTGGCTTGAAGGCTTGAGGTAGGATTACTAAACTCTGCTTTCTGATATTATTTTTTACCAGCTGTAACTTACAAGCAAAAGGGTCGTTTTTGCAGAATATTGTATGAGGTGAAGGTCAAGGAACGAAACAAGGCCGTGCTCTCTGGAGTCGTAACTCTTAACCGCTTTAGCTCATCTTTGTGATACAAACATATTGCAATGTAGCTTTTGTTGTGGATTATGAGCTCTATAGACCAACAATCGATGATGAAGCAAAAAAGACCTCTAGTATGAAAGAAATAAGGAGGAGTAGGAAAGAATTAAGGAGGAAGAAATAAGGAGGATATCATGGATTCCATAAAATCTTGGCTTGTTTTAGTGTGCTCATGTAATAATACTAGTACAAAGCTCGTGCGATACACGGGGTGCACAATTTTAAGGCTATTTATCCAGGCTTATAATTATATACATGAATACAGAAAAATGTACGGAATATATATAGTACGTGACCCGTGCGGGGCACGTGATATATTTATTTGGGGAATATTATATTATAAGATGCAATATTCAATAAAAGTTTTATAATTTGCAGGAAAATTGTAGTATTCGACAAAGAAACAATCATATATTATTAAAGACCTCATTGTACACAATATTATGAGTTTGATTATTGGGCAAACTCATCATTCTCACAAATCAGAACAGATTTTTCATATAATAATAATAAGATTTTTTGTAAAAAGATAAAAAGGAATTTTTAATCTACACAAACTTTAAACATTATATGTATTTACGTAAATCAACAATTATATAGACAATTAAACTCTTTAATTTAGGCTTGACATCTGCTTTATTTATTGGTGACGTAGAATAAAGATTTAATTTTGACCGATTAAATCTTTATTTATAGGCTTGACATATAAAATCGATTTTATGAGATTTTTTTAACTAAACCAATGTTATGGGATAAAAAAAAAATTATACTTACATTTGACTTTTCCAGCAAATGTAAAAAAATCGATTCTGATTTTTATTCCATAACAAATCATTAATGTCAAGCATATAAATACCAAAACTCATCTGTAATTAATGTCATTCTATTTCCAGCAAGCATGAATTATTTTTGACTTTTCTGCCTACTATTTCTAGTAAATATGATGACTTTTATTATATATATAAGTATAGATTGCCAAATATTATCAATGTGATATGGTATTACTCAAATCTATACTTATATTAAAGGGGGTACTATTTACCAAATTAAGTAGCCAAAAAAGTCAACAGCATTTATTGCATTACTATTTCCGTATTATATTATTTACTACATTTATTATCCAGAAAAGTCAACTGCATTAAATGTCATTACTATTTTGGTATTATAATATTTTATTTATTTAATTGATTTATTTATTTGTTTTATTTTAAAAAGGTAAGTATAATAAAAAGATTTTAATTATAAAAAATTAAATACCAAATAAAAATGTACACTTTGACTTATTTGATTATATTTGGTATTTGATTATACCAAATATATTTCTATTTAGTATATACATTAAATACTTACTAAAGTATTTATTTGTTTTATTTGTCAAAGTTAAGTATAGATTTGTTTATATTATCAAATCATAAAAAATATTAAATCCATATTGTAAAAAAAAATTCATATAATTTTATAACAATTCTTTTACACTATTTAACAATATTCTTTTTTTATTATATAATAAAATAATAATTAAATATTATATGGTGAACAACAATAAGTAAAACTGTTACTTTCTCTAATATTAAGAGATAAATTTATATGCTAAAATTAAATTTTTATTAGTATAAATGTTTTAGTGAGATAATATATTAATTATTTTACAAGCTAGCCCTAACATGCTCATATTTAATGTTTTAAAAGATGTAGAAAAAAAACTTATAATAACTCAATTGTTTTTTAGACTTAAACGTTGATTAAAAGAGGTAAAAATTCCTAATCTTTTAGACTTAAACGTTGATTAACACTATAGATTGAGAGCTTATATTTAGTAAAATTCCTAATTGTAATAAAAAAATTAATTTTTGCTATATTTTAGAATATCTTTAAATTCATTATAAAAAAAAGAAAAAAAAAACTACAATGAAAAAAACAAGTCAGCTATATATCGATTTGTTGTACTCCTCAAATCACATTCACAATTTGGCTGCAAGAGACTTTAAGACTCCACTTGAATATTATAAAATTTTTATTGATTTGTTGTACTCCTCAAATCACATTCACAATTTGGCTACAAGAGACTTTAAGACTCCACTTGAATATTATAAAATTTTTATTGAACATCGTACAATTTCTTGCGTATTATAAACTTTTATTGAATATTGCATCTTATAATATAATATTCTCCAAATAAATATATCTCGCGGGTCACGTACTATATATATATATTCCGTACATTTTTCTTTATTCATGTATATAATTATAAGTCTGGATAAATAGCCTTAAAATTGTGCACCCCGTGCATCGCACGGGCTCTGTACTAGTATATATACGTTCCGAGTTATTGTCGTGAAATTGTTTATTTATAAATAAGTTCGATTCATATATATATCCCTATATTTTTATGCCTATTTTATTAGCCCCCTACAAGGGATGTGGTGATTTTTTTCAGAGAAGAAAGCCAGAGCTCAGTTAATAATCGTGCCATTTTATAGGACGAGTGAGATAATCTGAATCCGAAATAACGTAATCTCATAGAAATAGGAACATACATAAAATTGAGCATTAGATGTACCGAGATAAAGAGGCCAAAACTATAAAATAATTTATCAGTTCTGCTTTTTTTTTTTCCCCTTTTGTTTCAGATCTCTTTTTCATGAACATTCTAAAATTACAGCGAATCAAAATCAAATTCAACCAGGCAGAACCGAAATCTTCTAATCTGACAGAGGAGAACACATTCAATGTCAGAGAGAAGTCAAAAAAAATTTAACCGCATGCATTTGAACAAGAATATATGATCATCACAGATTCACAAATATTTTTCACAGAAACAAACATAAAATAATTCTGCTGATAATTTAAGAAAGAGTAGTAGTTTTTCTCAGGTCAATTCGTGATAAAGAAGCATCTGTTTCTCATCCTAAAAATCCAGATCAAATCAGATAACACCACGGGAAATGCTGCTACTCACCACCAATTTCATTAATGTCAATTGTAGACCCCTCTAATCACTCCAGGTGGCGTTTACCACCTTCGCCATGAACGCATATCTATCAGCAGCTTCATCAATCTACACATACGGTTAACCCAAGTTATTTTCCATAAAACACAATTGACCTTGAAGACAGGGGAAAAAAAAATTAGACAATTTTTGCACGTCACTCACAATTTTCTGTGTTGGCATTCCAGCTCCATGACCCGCCTTCTGCTCTATACGCCCGATAATCGGGTTCCTTTGAGGGCTTTTCTCCAAGCTCGTGCATAATACATATTGCAATGTCTACAAGCAATGAAATATAAGCCAGCCGACTCGTATATTTTTTACTTTTTTTAATGTTCATTCAGTCCTTTTTGATATATACCGGAAAATGAATAAATTTATTAGAGAGAGAGACAACCCACCGCCAATAACTTCAGAGAGTGAAGTGGGACAACACGATCATCGTGGTCAGCAGTCAACAACATAGTCGATGGGTATTGAGTGTCCTTATGAGAAGGATTTTCCCAAGGTCTCCGAACATTATGGAGAGGTGAGTACCTATTAGGATGAAATGGACACAATGTGAGAATTAGCTCACATTATGTATTTATGTGATTGTCAAAGTAAAAATTGCAGGGTCCCAGAACAAAAAAATAAACAGAAAAGACACCAAAAAAAATAAAGAAAAAAAAAAGGTTTGGGGTGATTCTTTCTAACGAAATGAAGAATGGCATTGACAGATAAGTCATCAAATATAACTAAAGCAGAATTCATGTGTTAATCAAGTCAGACAAGCATAGGATGATGATTCCTAATAGCAACATAAGAAAAATATCTCACTTGAATAGCCAATTGAACTCTTCCTCCTTATCTGAACAGCCATAATCCGAGGTCCATGCATGACCTAGTTTCAAAAAGAGTACATGACAAACAACACTTTATGCCATATCAAAACATCTAACGGAAAAGATAATCCCTAAATAAAAAGAAAAACCCTCACCAATGGTGAACTTGTGAAACCTCAGCATGTCCATAACACCAACATGTGCAAGTGCACAGCCAAAAAGATCAGGTCTCTACAGTCACAAAATCTCCAAATATAATTACTTCGAAAAATAAAAAAACATGAACAATTTTCAGATACAAGTGCACGAAAAATAAAACACGGATTGCTACCTGATTAATACAAGCCCCAACAAGAAGCCCACCGTTACTACCGCCTTCAATACACAGCTTCTTAGGCTGAGTGTAACCAGCAGAGACAAGATACTCAGCTGCTGATATAAAATCATCAAAACAATTCTGCTTCTTCGAAAGGGAACCAGCTTTATGCCATTCTTCTCCATACTCTCCTCCCCCGCGTATGTTCGCAATGCAAAAGACAGCATTTAAATGCTTTGCAATCAGAATACGACTGACAGCAAAATATGGAGTGATGCTGATGTTAAATCCACCATATCCGTACAGTAAACAGGGGTGGGATCCATCTAGGCTAAGACCCTTTCTAGCCACTATGAACAAAGGGATTTTAGTGCCATCTTTACTGGGTACAAACACCTGAACAAGCCAACAAGGAGTGGCTCAGTCAAAACATAGAAGATAATACCAAAAACAATTTTTTAAAAAATAAATATCAGAAGCACCCTCCTGAACATGTATTAGGCAAGATCACTGTTTTTTCTAATTATATTCTTCACTTGTGTGGTCAGATTTTAATACTTACTATTACTCATGTAATTAAGGTAAATAAGAAAGCCATATATCAATTCTCAATAGAGTGGGTCTACCATCTACTCATAGAACAGGTGAAGCTGCTGCTCGACTGCTTCAAATTATAAAACCTTCGTCCTTTGACAATTATTCAAGAAAATCATCAGCCGACTTTCATTCTCTACAGACATGTAAACCCATGGGGGTAATGAAATATGAACACCATATTTGTGCACCTCCTCACTCACGTTTTTGAGCAGTCGACATAAAACCACCAAGGTCACAGGTACACATAACAATACCTATGTAAAA